ATCTAGCCTGCCAAACCTAAAATATTTACTGTCTGGGCCTTTACAGAAGAAGTTTGCTAATCACTAGCATAGAGGCTGCTTGGGGAAAAGGCAAGTATGGGTGTAAACAAGTTCTCTCCTCCTGCATCCATTCTCTGCCCTCTCTTTGGACTGACATCAGTCAGACATGCCCTCCAGCTTCAGGTTCTGTTTAGTCAATAGAAGAGGGAGAGAATAGGATATTCCTCCTATCTCAGCACCATATGGCTGATGCACTGGCCCTCTGCATCGTCAGGGGAATCCCTGCAGCTCCAGTCCTCTCACACTCTAATAAAACATGTCCTTCCCTTTGTCCCTTCAGTCTTAGGGGTGATAATGGTTTGCTAGTCCCTGGGTGCCTCAACCCCCTTGTTGTTTTCCTTGTCCATTCTGTAAACCTTTTAATTATCTTCAAAACTCTAGATTGTCTTCTGTTTCCTGTGAGGACCAGATTGATAGGAAGTCCAGATGAAATATATTGGTAGCTGGGAGGGGATGAGGGGACCTAAGGCAGGTGGTGGTGAGGGAAGGTGAAGAGGACATATTTGAGAGATGCATAGGAGGTAAAATGGAGAGCACTTGGTGATAGAGTTGGAAAGTAAGGCAGTGGGGAGGTATTTGTTGACCCTGGTTTCTGGGTTTTGTATCTTGGCAGGTGGTGGGAGAGATCCGCATTTAGGAAGGAAGCTTATGAACTCATTTCTCTCCAACATTTTTTTATGAAAAAAATACAAACCAGAAAAGTCATTTTTGGATATGTTAAGTTAGGGAGTACTTTGGAATCATCCAAGAAGAGATGTCAAGTTGGCTACCAGATAGTTGAGTCTGGAGCGTGGCAAAGACGTGTGGGCTGCAAATACACCTTTCTGAGTTGCCTGTGGCTTCCGAACTTGCTCTGAAATTAATTCCTCAAGAAAGCTTCTCTATCTTGCCCCTGCAAACTAACTGTGTGCTCGTGCCCCATGCTACTATGCAGTAGCATCATTTCTCACAATTATAAACTTGTGTTTAGTTATGTAATGTAACTTGTGTTTAGTTATGTAATGTCTGTCTTCCTAAGTAGAATTTAATCTCTATGAAAGCAGGGACCTCACCTTGTTCAGAGCAGTATCCCCAGTGCCTAGCACAATCCCTTGCACTTGTAGGAATTTCTTAATTATTTGTTGAATAAACCAATGAATCAACCATTGTTTGGACTGCTTTGGTGCATTGGGGCTGACAGCTACTTGAATGTCTGAGGCTCAGGATTATCCAGGACTAGCCCTTTGAGCTTGGTCTGGAGGTTTAGTCCCTCTAGTATCATGGATACACAGCTCTGCTTGTCTATCCAGTCTTTCATAATTCAGCACATTGGACCAATGACTTTGCCAATTGGCTCACCTCTGAAGTGTGAAAGTCTCTGTTCAGGTTTGACCATGTTCCAGTTTATAGGAAATGACCAAAGTTGAAAGTACATGAAGATCTAAACTAAAAACACAGATTTATGGCCAGGACCTAAGATTCAAAAAGTAAGAGGCTGTAGATAAAAAGTCTCATGTTGGGAGTGTGAGCTCAGTTTTGCTTGGAAAGATCTGAGAGACTGTGTTATTGCCTCTCCTCAAGCCATTTAGTGCTCTCTGGGGCTATTTTGAACCCAAAGGTTCTTCGCCTTTTGAGATATTATACAAATTTGAGAAGTTGCTCAACGCTTTATAATTTTTTCTTCAGAAAAATGCTAAAGAGCACATTTTGGAAACATAGTTTTATATATAATGTTATCAGAGGCATTCAGGAGCCTCTCCAAGGATTTCAGGTTAAGATTCCTATTCTAACCTAATTCAAAACCAGCCTTCCACACTGGGGTGTCCATCTCCTTCTGTTGCAGGGCCCTGGTGATCCTGGAAGTGGTTGGTTAACTAGGGATGGTAGGTCCCTGATGGAATAGCATCAAGGAGAGGAAGGGCATGGAGCATAGAGAAAATGGAATTGAGCCATAATCTTTGCATTTCCCACTGAAGCTTATGTATCTGCAGTCTTCACTTTAATCAAAATAGCTTAATTTAGGAAAGAAAGAGCCCAATGTTTTTGCTTTATAAAATCCTGATTTTATTGCTTCCTGAAATTTGTTTTAAAGGAGAAATACAAACCATATGTTACAAGGGCCTTCATTTGACAGTTTAACTGGGGTCATGCTGGGACTCTATAGATATTGCTCATTATGATAGGAAAGCCAGTAGGATGGGTCTGACAAGGATCTGTTGGCAGCAAGAATCAAGGGACCCCCTTTGGAATGATCTGATCACAAGGAAGAAATGGTTGGGGAAAATGTGCCACGTTTGTGGTTCAGATGTGAACTTTAATACAGCACAATGACAGTCACTTATTGCCCTGCAGACCCTGAAGACTTGTGCCTGACCCAAAGAAACATTAATAATGATTAAAATGTTAAAATTTTGTTTTATTAAAATATTTGTAAGGCAGTGTAGCAGATGCGGGTGGCTTGTTATTGTGAACATCTATGACTTCCTGGCCGAGAGCCTATTTTCTGGAGCAAAAGGAGCAAGCTGAGGCAAGCTGGAAAGGCAGAACATTAATTCCCCTGGAAGAAGCCCTCAGTCAATGACAGGTGAGGATTATCCAGTGATGGATGAAGAGCTTCCTCCTCCTTCAATTGGGATAACTCTGAGATGTGTTCTATGCTGTCTCCCAGAGTTCCCCAGCAGTACTGGGGTATAGAGGTAACTGGCTAGATAACACACCATTTATTAGCTTTCTTCCCATCACTATAATATCTTACTCTTCCTATCCCTGTTCCACTGTTCCTGGGATCGCCTCCTAAATGAAGTATTTGCATGTAAATCCCTGTCTCAGGGATTATTTCAGGTAGGGGGGTGGGAGGAATCCCATACCTAGACAGGCACTGAGGATATATACAAGGCATCATAGATTTGGAGTCAGACAGATCTGGATTCAAATTATTTCTCACCAGTGACATTGAACAACTTATCTAAGATTGTTTCTTAGAGATAATGACTCTGACTTCATAAGATGATATTGTAAGGAAAAATTAGAGAATGTATAAAGCACTATACACAGTGGCTTACATGTGGTAAGTGCTTAATAAATGTTGGCTATTATCATTAATACAGTATTTGTAATATTGTTAATAGAGCATAGCCCAGGTAGAGGGCAAAGCACAAAGCTGTTTTCCATCCTTGGGGTGACTGCAGAAGCAGGTTGATTTGGCAGATGTGCTGTAGATACTGTGTCCCTAGTGAGCAGCTGTGGCATAGCAATATCAATAGCTTAGAGCAAGCATTGCCCCAGTGAACCAGGGCAGGAGAGGAGGAAGATGGCGCACACCAAGTGGTGGCTCAAAAGATGAGCAATTGGCAGTGCAACAATGGTATCGCCAATTGTGCTTCGTCTCAGTAAGCACCGATAGCTACAGCACCAATAACTTCATGTCTGTGTCTAGTACACTCTTTGATCATTGGAATTTCATTAGCCTCACTCTTGAGGGATTATGTTGAAGGCTAACAAGACTAAGTTTCTGATTTCAACCTGCTTTCCCAAATGTACAAAGGACTCTTGCTTTTGTTACATGTATGAACCTAATTTGTTATTTTAAAGTCTGTCAAACGGGGCTCTCTGTCCCCCTTTATTCTCTATTTGCAGACAAGACCATATTTCAGTTATTCGGCCACAGTGAAAGAGAAACTGAGAGACACCAAGAATCTGAGGCAGGTTAAAGGGTTTCACTCATTCTCGAATCCTGATTAATTACAGCGCCAGGTTTCACCTGTAGTGCTTCAGCCTTCTCAAACAGCCTTAGGTTCCAGAGCAGATTGAAATGAGGGGCCACTCACATGGATACATATTAACAAACGTGCACATTGTGCACATGTACCCTAGAACTTATAGTTAAAAAAATAAAAAAGAAATGAGCGGCCACTTTGGCTAGGAAGGCAGACAGCAGGTAGGATTAGTTGTTGCCCATCTCTGCAGGTGCGGCCCAGTGCTGTGGGGGAAGAATCTGTTTAAGTCCCTTTTATTGTTTCACTCGAGTCAGAAATCAAGGACCATGGTAACATCCAATCACAATCTCCTCTTACCTTTAGACACTAATAGACAAATTTCTCCTCAATTGATGTAGCGAGATATATGCATATAACATAACATGATTTTTGAGCAAAAGCAACTTTTAAGAGGGGATAGTATTACAAATAGAAGGGACTGACCCAGCGACCTTGACACACCTGATATTAAGAACCATAATCACAGCCTGTTAATCTCGTCTGTTTCCTTCGAGAAAGGAAAATCTTTAAGACCTTGTCAGAAGGTCTTAGGCTCATGTAGGGGATTTTCTCTAGTGGGTTCTATGACATCTGTGTATGGTTTCAGAAAAATCCGTTGACATTGACACTTTCTGGAATACTGTTAGTTCTTCTCAAGGCCATTTGCATGAAAGTGATTTATGTTCATGTCTTAGTGTTAGACTGTGAGCTCCTTGAAGGTAGAATTCTGATATTATTTATTTGTATGTGCTCACAAGCCAGCATAGTTCCTAGAACGTTGCCAGGTTTAGCAAAAACCAAAACAAAACATATTTGTTGTTTATCTGAGATTCAAATTTAACTGGGTGCCCTGTATTTTTTTCTGGCAACCCTATTCCTGGCACATAGCTAACCTCAATAAATATTGATGAGTGAGAGGATGAATGACTAGCACAGTACCAACAAATGGAGAAATAAACTGGTAAAAACTTCAATTGACCATATAAAAGGCACTCATCTAAATTATGCCTAACAATCACAGAACAACAACACTGTGTCTGGTTAACGTACTACTTTTTAAAGTCTGACAGTCTGGCTTTGATTGGAGATACATTTTCTATCCATGCTTTGTCAGCCACTTTTACTCAGTGTCCACGTGGGAAGAATACTAATCTCCTGGTAACGAAGGTGTTTTGTTCCAACAATTTCACATCTTAATTCCGCACATTTCTGATTTCATATGTTTAATTGTTTATTAGTGTGTACCAGTTGTACAAGAAAATTGATTTTGGGTGGTATATGGGTTTCAGTCATTCTGAAGTACAATCATCTCTGTATCTTCCTTTAAAATTGCAAAAATTGTGCTTTTACTCCAGTCGAACCCTGGGGTTTTGGGTAAAGTCATTCACCGTGATTATACCATCAGGCCCAATTCTGTTTGGAAAAAGGTATATCTGCAGTTAGTTCACTGACAGTTAATCTTAGAAAGACAATATACAAATAACTCTCTCATTTCACATTAATTCTGCTGTTGCTCCTTTTTCTCTCTCTCTTTGTGTGTGTGTGTGTGTGTGTGTGTGTGTGTGTCTTCTGAGACAGGGTCTGGCTCTGTCGTTCAGGCTGGAGTAACTGGTGCGATCTCGGCTCACTGCAACCTCTGCCTCCTGGGCTCAAGCCATTCTCCCAATTAACTGGTGCAGGCACATACCACCATGCTCGGCTAATTTTTGTATTTTTAGTAAAGATGGGTTTTCACCATATTGCCCAGGCTGGTCTTGAATTCCTGAGCTCAAGCCATCCCTAGGATTACAGGTGTGAGCCACCATGCCCAGCCCTCTTTTTCTTTTAACCCTGCTCCTCCTCCTCCTCCTTCTCCTCCACTTCGGTTCCACTGGTCATAGCTAAGCGTGAGTCAGAGTTACTGGGGGGCTTATAAAGACACAGATTCCTGGGCTCCACCCCTAGAGTTTATGATTCCATAGGTCCAGGGTGTAGCCTGAGATTCTGCATTTCTAACATGTTCTCAGGTGCTGCTGCCACTACTGCTAGTCTCAGAAGGACTCAAAGAATTATTGTCCTATATCATTCTTTTCCTTCCTCTTCTCCTTCCCTTCCCCCTTTTCTTTCAGATCCATATTTCATGTTTCTCAAAATACTTTTCTATTTCCAGAGCAGTATAATACAATAATCTCTATCTTGGCCTGCTAGATTTGTTTTCCTGGTATTCTTTCACCTCCAATGGGTAAAAGTTAACTTACACTTCCTGTTCAATGTAGTTTAGCATCCTGCTGACGTGTGATGCAGAGATCTCCCCATCCACTTCGGCAATATACGTGTAGAGAAACTGGAAGGTGCTGAATGGGATCCGGGGCGACCCGCCATTATGGTCACATGATAAGACCTCACACAATATCTTGAGAGTTTTGGTAATAGTCTATAAAAGTTACATAAAATGAGGAGAAAGTTACTCTTCCAGGCAATATTCCTGAGATCCATTGAGATACAAGAAAGAAAACAAAAATATTCCTCTATAAAATGAAGTGGGAACAATTTAAGATTCTAGAAAGCTTGAAATTTTTACATTCAAATGTCACTAATTCATTCTAAAAAAATTAAGTATTGGGTATCTTTATTTTTTTCTTTGTTAGAAGACTACTCGAGGAATTAAATTTATAAATTCCTGAGTACTTTAAAATATTTATTACTTTAGCCCAAAAAACCTCACTAAAGGAGGGAAGTTGATTTGCTTTCTATATAGTTAGAATTATTATTATTACCTTCCAATCTTTAAACAGTTGAGATAAATGGTCTAGCCCATATAATCCAGCAAGATACTTGTGGCAATGACACAGTAGAGAGAAGGGTAATTTCCCCATAAAAATAGAGACCCAGGAAGATACTGGAAAAATGTTCTTGAACATCAAGATAAACATTCCTCTAAAGCATCTGGGCCCATCTAAATAGAATCACCTAGTGCTTTATTTAATATTACATAATACTAACCCTTATATTGTAGGGGAAATATTGGTTGACAATGAGTGCCAGGAATTTTAATAGAGGGGTTACTACAGAAGCAAACCCTCCTTACAATGAAACTTGAACATTAAAGGAGCATGCTCAGAACTAATCTCATGTCGTTAAATAAACCCACCCTTTGAATAAATAATACAAGCGAAAGAGTTGTGAAATGAAGGTCAGCATACAGATCTTGGCGGTTTACTGAAACTGATGATGTACAGATCATCCTGACACACCCTTCCAGGGATCAGTGAATGATCAGTCCTGAGTCCTTAGGGGGAGTGAAAAAGCAGCTGCTTCTTCCCACATGATTAGTAGCGGAGACTTGTCCTGCCTTAGCAGTTGATGTTTGCTGTTCTTCTCTCATCCTCTCCCAGAACAGAATGATTGCCTAGATGGGGCTTCTCTAACTGTGGTGTGTGTTACCCAGGAGTGTAATCTATGTCAGGAGGTACTAGGGTATGTGTTATCCAGGAGTGTAATCTATGTCAGGAGGTACTGAGGTACTGAGGATGTGAATAAACTCTTCCTTGAGTGATAGTTTGACTTGATGGCAAGTAATTTAAACATAATTTGTAATAATTATTAATTTTAATTGAGTTAATATTAGAATTTGTTTCTTTACATTTAATAAGCATTGTTATTTTCTGAAACAAAATTTTCAATAAACCACACAATGTCAAAAAAAACTGAGTTTGAGGTAGGCCACCTTCCTTTCCTCTCCCCTGCCCCTGGGGATCCTCTCATGGAAATCGCTGTGAAACACTGCATCTTCTAGGCACTTCCACTTAATTCAGAGTGGGTGGGAGGGCAGGCATGGGCTAACTAGTATACATGAGGCTGTCTGGGAGGATGGTAAGTCATGCATGTGAGTAAGAGAATGGTTTGGGGTAGATTTGCGAGCACACTCTGAACTTTATAATTTCCACCCACAGCTCACCCGTTTCTGTAAAAAAGCAAACAAGCAAACAAAAACAACCCTCTGCACCCCTAATGCTTTGTTCTGTTGCCCTCTCCCATGGGGTGCTGGTATGGGCTGAATTGTTCCCCCTAAAATTCATATGTCGAAGCCTTAACCCCAGAACTGGAGAATGCGATTCCGTTTGAACATACGACCTTCAAAAAGATAAGTTAAAATGAAGTCAGTAGGGTGTCTCTATAAGAACAGGAGTTAGGACATAAAGAGAGAGCCACCAGATATGCAGGCACAGAGGGACACAGTTCGAGAAGCTGGCCATTTTTAAGAGAAGGAGAAACACCTCAGAACAAAGCAATCCTGCTGACAGCTTGTTCCCAGAACCTCTGTCCTCCAGAACTGAGAGACAACAAATTTCTGTTGTTCAAGCCACCAAGTCATGGCAGCCCTAACAAACTAACATAGGGTCTTTCAGCCTTATGCATCATTTTTTATTGATTATTCAAACAACAAACCTTCAAATTCTATTGCCTCATAAGATTTTTAAGTATTTTTAAAGATTTAATAAATGGATGAGTGGATAAATAACTCTTTGGACTGGAGCTATTTGGTAAACTGACATAAATCTAAAGTAAACAGATCTTCATTCTCTTGCACAATATTTTTTTGGGATCTGCTTCACAGACATAATCTTTAAGCATCTTGCGAGCTTCATTTTCAAAGTTAGAGGTGAAAGCCTTGAAATGTAAATCGTTTGCTAACAAAATATGTCATTCCTTCCAGTGAACATGATTATTTTCTACATACGTGATCTCTTTCTTTTTTTAATAATCAGTGGATATTTAAAAATTCAGTGGAACAGGAGGTGGCATAGGCCAGTCCAGAAGAAGGAGTGCTGAAGGGAGGAGGAATGCAGGTCTGCATGCCATCGCATTCTGAATAATGAGTATTAGACGCAGAGAGCTCAAGATGGAGTAAATGTACCTATTACCTACTGGAGTAAAAATTCCTGTTACTAGACTCTTCTACAAGGAACAAACTGGCTTTCTGAATGGCATAGAGATCCTGTCTTGCTGTTGAATTTGCAAAGGAAAGAGAAATTCTGGGCTTGCCTCTAAGGATATATGAATTAACTAGGATGCAAGGTCTCCACCAGATGGTAACCCCTGACTTAGTCTCAGCTATAACAAAATACCTTAGACTGGGTAATTTATAAACAACATAAATTTTTGCTCACAGTTTTGGAGTCTGGGAAGTCCAAGACCAAGGACCCAACAGATTTGCTCTCTGGTGAGGGCGTGTTCCTCATGAATGATGCTTTCTATGTGTCCTCAGTTGGTGGAGGGGCAACTTTTATAACGGCACTAATCCCATTCACGAGGGCTCCAACCTCATGACCCAATCAACTCCCAGAGGCCCTACTTTTAAGGCCATCATCTTGGAAGTTGAGGTTTCAATTTACGAATTTTGGGAGGACACAAACATTCACACCGTATCACTGACCAGCCCCACATTTAAGATCCCAGAAACAGTCCAGCATGATAGAAATGAATATAAGGGTATTGATTACTGGTTTCATAGGGTACCCCTTATTTACAGACTTAACCTCCAGGCTGACTTTACCTCTAGGGGTTCTTTGACATGGGGATGATGCAGAACAAAATCAGATATGTCAAGGCCTCTTAGAATTGGAGGAGCTCACTGTTATTCAGAGGTAGGCCTGAGGGTGTCTCAGAGGAAGCAGAGAAGTGGGGATAGAATCACAGGATGTCAGAGGTAGATGAACCTCATGGAACACTGAATCCCACCTCCTTGTTTTAGAAGGGAAGTAGAAAGATACAATTCACCTCGTGGTTTCCCCTTCTCCAGTTTGGGAGGCAGGTACATCAGAGGAAACTTCGCATCTACACAGTGGACCAAACAGAGGGAGGGTTGGAATCTGACTTTCCAAAGTCATTCTTTGTTACTCTGAGGTATGGGGATACGGGAAGGCCTCAGACACATCACACACTGGTGAGGGGCTGTGAAGTAGACCACCAGAGCCAGGGAGCAGATAGGATGGCCTGGCAGAAACTCAAGGAGGCCCTCGACACCATCGAGAACTGAAATGAGCCGGTGGGGGAGGCATCGTCAGCCTTTCACCAGTCTGGGAGAGACGAGACCAAAAACTTAAGCTGCAAGCAGCTAGCAACCAGACAGACAGGCATTGCCATGGAGACCAGAGATGCCAGAGAAGACTGAGGGCTGTGGGAAACCCTTCACTTGACTGCTCTGTGGTCCTAGAGTCACTTCTTTCCATCTACATTCAACTGCCATCTTGGAGAAGAGAGCGTGGTGAGGAAAAACCTGAGATACTGGGAAATTTATCTTTAGGCTGTTTCAGTTACCACATCAGACTAAAATTTCAGGATTGGATTGAATTTATTTGTTTTCTTATTTGACCCTTTGTGGGTGGGATAGACCAAGAAGATCCGAATTAACTACAGATAAAATTTTAAAGGTACATTTTCACCCCAAAATGTCTCAAAATGTGGTGTGAAAAAATCTGTAACCCTATGAGAATTTAATAAAATATGTCCATTTTTTATCTTCCCATTTGTGATTTTCCCCAGTCTTGATTGACAACTCATAGGCCTCTGCTGCTTACTTTTCTTTCCTCCTTGGAGGATAGTGATTTATTCAGTAATAAATGCTATAAAGGAAAATGAAGAAAAAAAGAGCCACAAATGTCCTCTTGTTTGCTTCTCTCTAAAGAAGTGATTATGATGAAGGCTGTAGGGGAACCTATAGGAAAAGTTGGACTACAATATTTCCACTAAATTTTCTCAGAAATAAAACTGTCAAATATGTATTCCAAGCATATTTGAGAAGAACAAGATTATGTTTAGATATGCTGAATGATTCAGACTACCTTTTCATACCATTCGGTTTTGGCAGACGCAATTATTTTCTCAATAATTTTCAAACTTGTATGTATCTCAGGGATTCTTTTAAAAAATCATGTTTTTGATTCATTTTAAGTTACTTTAACAATGTTTAACAATGTAAGTCCAATATAAGATACCCAAGCTTTAAATATCTATACATATAAACTGCTTTCAGCATCTTTGGCTTCAAACCAGTAAAATTGCTTTTCCAATATCAAACAAGTCAAATTTGGAAAAGGCATAAATCTGTATGAACATCCTGCATCCATGGAGATGTCATGACTAAATTCAGAAACAGCCTCATCTCTCTCTCTTTTTTTTTTTTTTGCTTTCTTATGTCTGAGTTTCGCATCCAATTCTGTTTATTACATAGTTTTCTGTAAGATTGTACCCCCTTTAAAAAGTGTCTATTGATATATATTCTAGGTGTCTGGAAGTCTTTTTCTGCAGCCGGCTCTTGGCTGTCTCTGGGAATGTGAATGGAGGGAGTGGAGTGAAAACAAATCTGAGGGCAATATTCATAAATAATCCAAGAGCTACACTGTAGTCAGCTCTCCCCAGAGCCTGACGATGGTGTCTCCCTCTGCCCCTCCCAGCCCCTGCCTCTGCCTGACGAGCACAGAAATGACTTTGCTTTAGAGAGGAGAAGGCCAAGGCGAGAAGAGGCATGTTTATCATCAGCCCTGGAGAGTTGACCACGTGTATAGATCCACTGCCCTTCCAGGCCCGGAGGGAGATTGCCCCCTCAGGAACAAAACAGTCAAGCTAACTTACAACTCCCAGAGCGCTGCAAGCAAGGGCTAAAAACTTCAGCCACTCGATCTCCTCCGTGAAGCGACCCACATTCATCACACTATTAAACAGATCTGCTGGAAGATTCACCACTTTCCACATCTGGGCCAGCTCCTCTGCATGGACGATCAGTCTCCCAGCAACCTGCAGGGCAGGGGACAGACACAACACGGAGATGTGGGAGAAGTTGAGACAAGGCCCTGAGAAACACCCCGCCCCCAGGCCAGGTCCACATCTCCCAGCACATGGCAAGGGGCGGGAGGGGGTGTTAGGAAGGTACAAGATGGCTCTGTGTGGCAATTATCTTCGCAAATCCTAGTGAAGAGCATGCTGAAATATAATTTATTAATTGTTAAACTTTAGGTGTCAGAATTATGCAAAAGATATACATTCATATTACATTTTAATTTCTGGTGACAATAGCTTTTATCTGCTATTGTATTCCTAAATTGTTTTATTCCTTATATGACAGATAGAACAGCCTGAAAACAAAACCAGGGGGTAGAGGGCTTACCTCAGACCACTAATTAATGGTAAAATTAAAACAAGACATAGGTCTCTTCCTTCCAGATTGCACTGAGTTCTTAGCTCTAGACCTCAAGCGCATCCCTCATGCTTTCCCCGGAATGATGTGGGGTATGTGGCTGACCCACGGGGATTTGGTCTGGACGCCTAATGTTGCTTGATCCCAGGTACGTTAGAGCTCTGTCATGTTCACTGCACAAGGTACTTGGTGGATAAAAGGAGGGAAGGTGACCGGTTGTTGGCCACCAATGCAACAAGAGCACAGATGCCCCTGATGAAGTGCTCCACCACCTTTCCTGACCCTCTGATTCCAGCGAAATGCTAAGCCTCTGGCACCAAGGTAGTTAGCCGCACCAGTCCTAAATCACCCCTAACCTCTCTGTCCTGGATCATAAATCAGGGTATGGTGGTGCTCAACCGTATTTCCTGGGAATTGGCCAAACCACAAACTTTCTCCAACCGGACCCTCCTCATGCATTCATTCTCCAGGCAGCTCCCAGGATGATGTGGCTGTGAAGAGGCTCACAGCCTCTCCCTAAAAGCTAAAAGCTATGTTTGGACCTGGGATAGCTGGGGAGCTGAAATATGCCCTTCCCCAAACTGTGATTGGCATCATATTATGGTCTTGATCAGTAAGGGAGACACTGTCGAGTGACTGAGGACCTGCACTTTTCTGGAGAGACGAGATTAGCATTGCATTGAGCCCCTGTACATTCTGCCAGCTTCAAGGAAACCTGGGATGACCCCACCAATGACTCAGCCTACAGCCTATTTCAAAATTATTCCCATTTCCCCAAGGGAAGATTTACTTTCAGTCCACGGTTTAGTGTATTTTAGGGTGGTGCTAAGTGGTCAACTGACTGGCAAGAGAACAGAGGGCTTTCATCAGTACCCACCCAGCCTCAACACTGTGCTACCTTCCCCTCAATGCTGCAGCAGGGCCCTTACCTGAGAATGCAGGATCTTTAACACCTCAGGTGTTAGCTCTGTCCAGTTACACAAAGCAGCTTGCTCAGACCGCTCTCTCACCGGAGGCATCTCTCTACATAGGGCCTCAAAATAACTACAAAAAAAAAGTCAGAGAGTAGGAGGAGCATCCTATATCCAGTGGCCTCTGGCTGTTCTAGCAATCCTTCCCCCTTTTTCTGAGGGAAGGAGGTAGAGAAAGGAAGCTTTGTGAAGTGGCTTCTATGTGTCATTGTGTTTAGTTCACTTACATATGGGAAAAGCCTGAATGTGTTACTCTCCACTTAGGGCACAGAGAATGCTTAGAGAATACAAAACTTTGTTCTTCTCTAAGGATGAGGAAGAACCAAGAAAAGTTTGGGTATGCAATTCCCTGGAGCATACTGGGTTCAGGTTTCTTTTTCAGTCATCTCTGAATGTTTTATACACGCAGATGTATATTACACATGTATATACAATCTTGGGAAGAGAAGTTGGAAGAGAACTAAAAAGAAAGGGGAAGACAGCACAGGAATGGTGTCTAGGGCCTGTAATCCAGTGACTCCAGAGGCTAAGGCTGGAAGAGCACTTGAGCCCAGGAGTTTGAGGCTGCAGTGAACTATAATTGTGCCACCACACTCCAGACTGGGTGACAGAGTGAGACCCCCATCTCTGAAGAAACAAAAAAGAAGGGAAGGGGAAGAGATGGAAGTGTCCTAGGGGTGAATCAGGAAGGGTTTCTGGCCAGAGGTAGTGAGGCTTGGAGCTTCAAGAGGGAAGGGAGAGAGGGTTGTCAGGGCACCGTGCAAGGCTCAGGAGAGAAGACAAGCCAAAGAAGGTTTGAGACAATCTGAAGCTATATGGTGACTGTGAAATAAAACTGTTTCTCCATCTTCCCTCAAATTTTTCAGTAAAATCTGCCTGCTCCTCAATATTTTGTGGAGTGGACTTTGTTTTGGGGCATTGTGGAACAAGTACTGGGTTCTGTTTCAGGATTGGCATAAGATGAAAAGAGGCTGCCTGCAGCAGGGAACGGACATGAGCCGCTGACATGTGGGTCACCAATGCTGTATGGCAGCATCTGTCTCCATCAAAGCCTGGTTATTGATGATCCATGAGCCACAAATTTCTGTCCCTCCCTGCTTTTTTCCCTCCATTACTTCCTCCAGATCCAGGTTGTACGTAAATAAATATAGAGGGAATTTAGTAAAAGTCCATTTTAGGGTCAAGCCATACAATGATGGGCTAACCATTGCCTGTCTCTGAGCCACATAGCCAGGCAGAGCTAAAGCTACATGGACTAAAGCAGTAACTGCCAGTCACCCCTTGGAGGTCATCAGCAGGAAGGGCAGAAGAAATACGTTAAGGCCACATTTAACAACGTGCATGAGAAATCTCTGCACACAGATCAGTGTTGGGGTGGGTGGGGTGTGGGTGCAATGTGACAGCAGGAGCGGGGTGTGGCCTCAGGCTTTATAACCAGACTTGGGTGGTATAAATGGGAGGGACAGAGACACACAGCACCTCATTCTACAGAAGTGCTGCCCAGGTAGAGTAACACTCAGCACCAACCTCTCTGGACTTCTTATGGGATTGGTTAGACAACATGGAAATAAAGCTGTAATCATGGATTTCGTTCTTTGGGGTATTGAGCTTCATTTGCAAGTGCTCAGGTCCATGGTTATACACATAGATTGCAAATTTGTGTTGTAACACATGCCTACCAGAGGACAAATAAGTATATGTCCTGCCGATGCCTGGTAAGAGGTTTCTTCGTTGACAACATATATGTAGTGAAATTCTTACTTGCAATGGATTAAATACGTATTTTGTCTTGGAAATACTTCGTAGAGTTTTATTCTCTAAAATGGTACAGGTTTTAAGTAAGTCACATACAACCATCTGAGCGGTGCTTTTCACGTCTGGATAGAAAGGAGGGGGCTCTTAGGTCATGCCCTCCTTTTTCATTGTGGTTAAACTACAAACTAAGTTTTCATGGATGTCTAAAAAATTATAGCACATGATACAATATGAGAGCGAGCAGGCTACAATAGTGACTGCCTTCTTCCATAAATTTCAGGGACAGTACTAAGCAATGTCATCTTGCTTATTATAAAACAGCAGCACAAGGACAATAAAATGGGTTTGAAACGAATGTATAAGATAAAGTCTGTCTATCTGACTATGCCAAAATAAATTAGTCTTCTGATGCTAAAGTTCAATCTTAGAGGCAATATATAAAATTTAGAATGGAAAACTAAACAGGGCTCATTACTAGGCGAAGCAACCGCCATTTATGTTTCTTTTTATGAGCACCCCTGGTCTATTTTCCTTCCAGTTGTAAAAGCTGCATCCTAATCCAGCCCGGGAGCACAGCACTGGCCCAGAGACTCCGAAAGACCCCTCTTAGATGACATTTTGTGTCTTCTCAAAGGTGTCCACACTCTCCCCACCATCTGCACAGTATACCCGCTCACAACCTCAGGCTGAGGACATCTTCCCTTCCCCAACTCACTGGCTGTCTCTCAACGGCCTCTCTCACTCTCCCCTTCCTACTGAGACCCTCCTAAGCAGGGAATCATAAAACAGTAAAAATAGCCTGAAAATGGTCCAAGAGGTCTAGTTATCCTCCAGCTCCTGTCTCAAGTCCTGGTTCCCCAGTTTCAAGCAGGCAAGTTTGTCTAAGGAGCAATTTCATAGCTGAGAGGCTTTCTGTGCAAAGCTGCTTCAATCCCGGCCCGCAGCCATTGTTGTGTGAGCTCCATCTACTGAGCAGCCTCTGGAGGTCTCTCCTGAAAGAAGGCCCGCGTGTTTGAGGCACACTGTTTTCAGCCATGCCTGGGGACCCCATCACTCTGCTTGGCCTTTCTCCAGAATGCAATGGGTACTGTGCGGACATCTTTATGTTGGCAGAACAAATCAGTTCAGAGAAACACTAAAGTAAATAACAATTTCCTCAAAGACAAGATACAAAGCGTCTTTGGTTGGGTCCAAGTAAGAGTTTTAACACAGGGGATGAAGTGTCTCCTTAAAGGGGTGAACTAGCTGGACTGGTCCCACCCCATCCACCCAGGGCTGTCGCGTCCCTCCCCCGGCTGCACTGCTGCCATCTAGTGGTGAGACAGGAGAACGAAGAAAGGCAGATTAAGCTTCGGAGATTCCCAGCCCTTCTTTCCACCGGGACTGGGAAAAGGAGAGCAGGGAGGAGGTGGGTGTGCATACGCTGGTGTGACGCGGCCACTTAACTCTTGCTGCTTGCCCCAGGACACAGGCTATTGACCTGGCGTCCTACTGCTCAATCTGGCTCGCTTAGGGGAGGCATCCCATCCTCACCCCGCTAGATGTAATATTTATGTGTGGATTTTAAAGCATCAAAGCAATGCCAGAGCTAAAACAAAGATGATGCCAGTTAGTCCCGACCCCCTGGCTGCAGCCATGGCAACCTCTGCGGTTTTCCAGGACCCTCTCTCTCCGGCTGTCCTCCAAGGGGTGAAGGCGAGAAAGGAGCACGTACTCGGCTGCCCACTGGATGAGGTCCTGCGGCTGCGCCCGAATGGCGGCTTTGGCAAACTCCTTCAGCATCTTCGGCAGCTCCGGCGGGATGCATGTTGGCTTATCTGTCTGAGCCATTGATTGGTTGGCCTATTCTCAGAAGAAAAATCCCTAAGATGAAAACTTCGACTCATACGATGAGAGCAATCCTGGACAGGAGGTCACCCAGCCTCTGTTTGACATTCAATTTTGGGGACTCTGCAAGACAAATGCATTCTATGCTTACACAACGCCAAGGTTAGAAAGCCGTCTGCTAACCCCTACTTTTTGTTTTAAATACTTATGTCCTTTACATAAAAATTACACAGCCTTGTTCATTTAAAAAGTGGAGGTCAGCAAAAAATTCCCTAATGATATCACCCCAAAATATTGGATGTCTCCTTCCAGAATTTTTCAGTATAAATATATATGTTTGTAAAATAAAAAAATAAGATTATACAAAACAGCTTATTTACTCAAAACTATATAATGAACATCCTTCCATGTCGTCCAGCTCTTATTAGCTGGGTAAGAATTGTAGCAAAATTTACTCTGAACCCTCTGTGAATTGACATTAGGCCATTTCCACATAAAAATTATCATTAAACAGCCGTTTGATGAGCGTCTCTCTTTATAACTGCGTGTTCTTTTCCACTCTAATTGTCAAGCGGAAAATTCGTACATTTTCTCTTAAAAAGTTCCAGGACAAATTGAAACAAAACATGAAAATCCATAAAGTGTATACAATTCCCTCCACAAATAAACAACAGATCAAAAGATTTTTGTCTGCTTTTAGTAGAGAAAGGGACAGATTAGATATGCTAAAAAGCTGTCCCTCTTCAAATCACCTAGAGGCCAGACAAATCTCAGTACAAGCCTTTCACATTGCCTTGCTGGGCTTGCAGTGAAGTGAGAGAAATCTTCCAGTGGCCAATGAGGTGAGTAAAGTGGAACCCGCAGTGCTGGGCAAATGCAGAACCTAGGGCTCATCTGGGCAAATGTAGATGGCAGGAACTTGAAGCCTTGAGATAAATGGCCAGGGAGGGTGGGTAGAGACCAAGGATTGGGCTCACAAAAGGCAATGTCTGGACTAAGGACTCCCCTTCTGACCTAAACTTGAGACCCACCCAGGGACTCCACCCTCAGCTGGAAAAGGTGTGGCTGAAAATATCTGCCTACAGGCGGGGGTAAGCAGCAAAGAGACCTGTCTGCATTGCTGCTTCTAGTCAGGAGAGAGACAGTCCCCCAGGAGTTTGTAGCCGCGGACTAGTTCTAAGTTTTCAATGTATACCAGCACCAGCACGGCTGGGAAATTCCAAGACAAGAAACTAAAGTCGTCTTAGGTTGGTGGGACTTCATGACCTTTTACTTTATTTATATTCTTTTATTTGGAGGAAAAAGAGGATAAAATAATGATTAATTTTAGACTTTGCAAAGTATTAGAAAAGTTATAACAGTAATATAACCACTAAATCTGTAGAGAGGAAAAAAGGAATTTTTAAACAACACAAACAAGCAAAACCCTTCATCAGTCAAAAAGAAGGCAAGAAAGGAGGGGTGAAAACATAGGAAAGTGGACAAATAGCATGGTAGAAAACAATGCATACATATCAGTAATCACAATAAAAATAAATGGGCTTAAATGTGCGAGTTAAAATATAGGTATAGGTACACCTGAAAAAACAAAGACACAGAAAGACTCAATGTAAAAAGGGTATAAATAAGCAAAGAATAACCAACAAAAGTTAAGGTAGACATACCAATGCCAGACAAAAGATACTTTAAGGCAAAATGCACTATTAGGAATAAAGAGAGTCACTACATAACGATAAAAGCTTCAATTGTTAAGACAATAGCAACAATTCTCAATGAGTATGCCACAGACATCACCATGGAGGAGTCTCACCATGCTAGATGGAAAAGCAATATATTGTTTCTGGTGACATATGTATGTTATAATATTCTAATAAAGTGTAAGGAATGATAAATACAAATTCAGAATGGTGGTTACCCCTGGTGGAGGAGGGAGAGGAGGGAGAGGGACGTCATTAGGGAGATACAACAAGGGTCTCTGTATTATTAGTAATGCTCTATGTTTTAAGCTGGATGGTTGCTGCCCTGATGTTTGTTTCATTATTTTTATACTTCTACTTACATCATGTATTTAATTTTGTCAGTATGAAATATTTCATCATTTAAAACGTTCCTCTTATAAGTTGTTTCTGATGACTTTTCAAACCATTTTATCTATCAAACAGCAGTACCTTATTTGCTCTGCACAATGTTGTCTTATGTTGTCTACACATATATGTATTCTTTTACTGTGTTAAAAATAATACAATTTACCATTTTAACCATTTTAAATGTACAGTTCAGTGGCATTAAGTACATTCACATTGTTGTGCCACAATCACCACCATCCACTCCAGAACTTTTTCATCTTCACCAGCTGAAACTCTGTACCCATTAAGTACGAACTCCCTATCTTCCTTCCCTACAGCTCCTGGCAACCACCATTCTTCTTTCTATCTTCATGAATTTGACTATCATATAAAATCATATGGCATATAATATTTGTCCCTTTGTGTGTGGTTTATTTCACTTAGAACAATGTCTTCGGGTTCATTCATGTGGTAGCATGTGTCAGAATTTCATTTTTCTTCTGATCCATAGTCAGATGTGTTATCCATTGCACCACTGGCCCCAAGCTGAGAATTTCCTTGTTCTTAAGGATGAATACTATTTTGTTAGGTGTACCACAATTTTATCCATTCATAGGTCAATGGACAGTTGGATTGTTTCCACATTTTAGCTATTGTGAATAATGCTGCTATGAACATAGGTATACAAATATGTGTTCAAGTCCTTGCTTTAAATTGTGTTGTGTATATATACCCAGAAGTGGAATGGATGGATCATATGGTAATTGTATTTTAATTTTTTGAGGAACTGCCATACTGTTTTCCACAGTGGCTGCACCATTTTCTGTGTCCATGTATTTTGACAGGATCTTTTAGTTGTTGTGCAATTGTTTAATTTCTCTCCTGGAGTCTCAGATAATCTCGTGTAAATGAAAAGATGCCCCAATCCTAATTAAGGAAGCTTCCATGACAACAGTAACAATGGTTAACCCTTGGTCAGTATAGAGCAAACTTAAGTAAAGCCTTTACTTCATCCCATTGCCTTTTCTAACAACTGATCTGCAAGCTCTTTTCATTTTGGGGCAAGGAATCTCTTGTAAGTTTTCCATACCCATTGTCTTTTCTCAGGGGTTGGTCCTTCTTTAACCTCTTGCAGTTTCTGTTTTCTCTTCTCATCATTGTATTTTTCTCTTAAAAGTTATCAATTACATCTATTAATTTATTGTAAGTGCCAGGTGCACTCATAAGAGGACCAGTACTGTGCTAAGTACTGGACCATACATTTTTCTCAAGTAATCCTCAAAGTATCCCTATAAGGTAGACTATATTAGCATTATTTTACAGATGATGAAACTAAAAAAGATAACAGAACTTTTGCAATGACATCTAATAAGTGACAGAGGTAGGGTTGGAATACACAGAGTCTGACATGGGAGGTGACCTGCTAGACATGACAATTGTTTCCTTCTTGAGACTTTCTCCTCCTTTGATAGCATACGCCATTCTTGTGTGTCTATTTTCCTCAGCACTGCTCCTTTGCCTCCTTCCATAACTCCTCTTCCTCCCTCCTCACTCTAAGCAAGAGTTAGCAATCTTCCCCCAACTCAGGTCTTCAGCATTCTTTCTGTTGCTCTTCTTGGAGAGCTCACAGCCTTTTCATGGCTTTATCTATGACAAAACTGTGTGGATTATACTCGTTTTCCCATCCTTGACCTCTTGCCTGTGCTTCTATTTCATACTTCCCATTGCCTCCAGGACACTTCACTAGAATCCATTGTCCATCTCCCAACTAAATCCCTCTCCCAGGTTCTTCTCTGAACGTGATACCACTAATCTCTCAGTCCTTTGGCCTCAAAGCCTGAGAGTCATCCATTTTCTTCAGTCTGTTGAATCTCACTAAATCCCACTATTTCCTTTGAAATGTGTCTTCAATTAATTCCTATTTCTACTCCTATGTCTCTGGCTCAGCCCCTTATCACCTATTGTGCAGCCTCCTGACTAGTCTCCCTGTCTCAGGTCATTCTCTGGCCTGTCCTGTCCAGTGTGTCCAGATCTATCTTCCAAGTTGCTTTTTATAGTCAGAGAGCACTGCTCACAAAATGACAATCATATCCTGACTTTCAAGGTTTTCTATGATTTATACCTATAATTCTAAACTAAAAATTTTCTGCTACTCTTTACCAACACAAATTTCCTATACAGTCTACTCTGGCCACTTTCCAAAAAAAAAAAAAAATTATATATCCAAAGCTTAACACTGTCTCTCACCCACTGTTAACAGTAATCTATCTTTCTTTTCTCTCTTCCCCTCAGTATTTTGCTAATTCTAGCCGGCTTACTTGAAGTGCCCTTCTTCTTTCATCTGCTTAAACCCTGTACATCCCCAGGGGTTTTCATACTGTGCCATAGGCGTTCCTAGAAAACTTGGATATCATTAAATATTGTTTGTAGTATGCATTTCACCACTTAATCCTCTTCTGCCTTTCATAGCTCTCTAAAGCCGAGCTCCCTGCTAGAGGCCATGGCAGAATGGGCTACAGGTGTGCCATGGAAGATTGATGGTTGTAAACTTTTTATAGTAATACAAAATTTACAACCATTCACAAACTTACAACAGTTGAAATTATATTTGGATACTGTTTGGCACAGTCGGTAAACTTCCAGATTTCAGTACCTATTGTTTCTGTGCCGAAGGTTTTATGTATAACACCTGCTGCCAGAGACGCCTTTATAGGGCTTTTCCTTTCAACTATCTTGTTAAAACAATCCCTGTACGTCAGATTATTACTTTAATTGCAATGCATTTATTATCAGTGACAATGATAATCTTTATGCATATGTGTTGCAAATACTTAGCTCTACTTTTGATTTAATTTTCTCTTTTTCACATTATTTTCTCCTAACAAAGAAGTTGTATGATTTTTCTTCATCATCACCATCACCACCATCATCATCATTTGTCCCTAAGAAAACAATAGATTTTGTTCACTTTTTTTTCCCATTGTGACTTGATTTGTTTGTGACTTGTTTATTCTTGGCTTTTGATGTTAAACAAATATCCAAAATCTGATACTTAATGCACTTTTATAAGGACTTGTTTGTTTACAAAAATAATAAACATTGCCTCTAAACATAAATAATAATAGAAAATAATTTAATTGATTTAGTAAAGGAGACTCTAGGCCTTCAGTAAAGTCTCATAAAAATATTTTTTGGCTGGGTGCAGTGGCTCATGCTGGTAAACCCAACACTTTGGGAGGCTGAGGCGGGCAGATCACTTGAGCCCAGGAGTTCAAGACCAGCCTGGGCAACATGGTGAAACTCTGTGTCTACTAAAAATACAAAAATTAGCCAAGCATGGTGGCACATGCCTATAGTCTCAGCTATTCAGGAGGCTGAGTTGGGAGGATGAGGTTGCAATGAGCCAAGATCACACCACTGTACTCTAGCCAGGCTGGCAGAGCAAGACCCTGTCTCAAAAACAAACAAACAAACAAACAAAAAAACCAAAAAAGAATTCAAAATATTTAAATTATACTTGAAATAAGTAATACTTATGCTTTGTGAAAATCTAGAATTGTAATTATTAAATTAAATAATGTTTCCAAAATTTCCCCTTTACTTACCAAATGCTTTTCAAAAATTTTATGTGATTTATTTAAAAATATTCTTAAGGACAGCCATATTTTCTTTGAAAACTGATTTGTTGTAGTCAAAAAGGCCTATAGTCTCCTTAAGTACTTTATGTATATTATTTATTTTCCATCATAAAAGGTAATGTAAAATTAAATATTAATAACTTTTATTAATATCTTAATATTATTACAAAAATGGTTTCCAAAGTCCTCAGGGACATACAGAAGTTCCTGAAATCACCACACAGTTGCAGAGGCAGGGCAGCTGTTGCGGGGAGCAGGGGTCCCTGATGGAGACTGTGTGTGCTGTTGCACTGGAGGTGGTGTTGGATGGGGGTGGGGTGCTGGCCGGTGCAAGTCCAGGTGACTTCTCTGTACCCTGCAAGCAGGAGTAGTTGCTCAGGGTGGAGGAGGATCTGCTATTCTCTGCACAGTGTTAGCACAAGGGCAGGTGTTGGCAGGGGTGGGGCTTGCTGGTTCTGTACCCACCAAGGCTCTGTCTGCAGTGGCAGTCAGTGAGGGTTAGCAAGGGTGGACTACACTCTTGTGTGCTGGCAGGACAAGTAAAGCAAAACCTGCCTGTGCAGACATGGGCCAGCAAAGTGATGTGGGTAGTTGCTGTGGGCTCAGGGAAGCTGTAGTATAGGGAAGGAAAGTACTGGCTGCAGTATGCAGCCATAGGGGCCACCTTGCTGGAGCTCTCCACTGATCAGGCATGGTTTGCCAGTGCAGAACCTATGGTGTGGAACCCCAAGGCACCTGAGATTGCCCTGTAAGCAGGCATGGCCAGGCTGGGGTCTGGAAGAGGCCAGCAGACCAATGGGTGCTCAGATCAGACCAGCCCTATCTGATGAACAAGACCTCCCTGCAGAGATGAGGTCCAACAGTTCCCCTACAGCTAAAGTCTCTTATTGGAGCAAGTTGAGCCTGGTGGGATGGCCATCCCTGGCCATGCTGCACTACAAACACTCTCACACCAAACTCTCTGGGCTCCACATCATCTGGCTTGCTGCCCTACTTCTCTAAGCAGCTCTCCCTGCCACCTTAAGTTTCTGTGGTGACTGATGGGTTCCCTCCTCCCAGGGTTCCAGTGGCCCCTGGTGAGAGCAGGTTGCTCCTTGCCAGTTCAACTCACTCGTTCCCCCAAAGCTGTTGTGGTTCATAAATGAGCTTCAGTGTATGGCAGCCCGTATGGGTTTCCCAGCTTTCTCCCCCTTCAGCCAAGCTTGTGCCTTCCCTCAGTCCACTGTCTGTGCCTTCCCTCTGAAGACATGTTAAAAGCACTCCAGTCGTCTCAGTTCCTCTGTGGGAGCTGTTCCACTTGTCTGCGTCTAGTTGGCCATCTTGCCCTCCAGTAAAATTTCTTAACCACTCATGTTTTTACATCACTCTGAAAAACATTTAATGGATCTTCATTTCTTTTCTTATAAAAATTATGCCATTTGACTTTCAAGATCTCCACAATTTGTTTATTTGTATTAACTTTGCTTCTTCAACTGTGTTTCACAGAAGCCTGGATTTTTTTCCATCCTGAGACAAACCCATGGCCAAGTCAACACAGCATTTGGATGCCAACAGCAATATTGTTAAGAGCAGTTCTACTTGACCTTGTCCTTTTTTTGAGTAGTAGTTTTGGTTTTGTTAGCAAATTTCCCAAACTTGCTTATATATCATGCTAGTATTACCTCTTGAAAGCATGAGTTCTACATGTTTATTATTTAACTAATGAATAGGTACCTCTTTTGGTTTATCTAAGCCATGCTCATATTTCAAAGATTTCCCCCATGTCCATTCACATCATCATCCATTCTAGGAACACATGGCCCATTTACACACTGGCATATAAACTATGTCATGTAAAGTTGTACAACATGGTTCCCTGATTTGGGGATCTAGTATACACACTTGGGTCACCTTAGCCCTGTCTAATATAAGTGTATGAAAGTCTTTATTAAGAGTAAGTGTCATAATACCCCACACCATTTTCATCTTTTACTTGTCCTTCCTACTTTTTTTTTTTAAGATGGAGTCTCGCTCTGTCGCCCAGTCTGGAATGCAGTGGCATGAGCTTGGCTCACTGCAACTTCCACATCTTGGGTTCAAGCAATTCTCTTGCCTCAGCCTCCAGAATAGCTGGGACTACAGATGCGTGCTGTCATACCTGGCTAATTTTTGTATTTTTAGTAGAGACGGGTTTTCACCGTGTTGGTCAGGCTGGTTGTCCTTCCTACTTCTGATTTCATTATAGCATTTCTGTGAGTCAGAGATTTAAAACATACAAACAAGGGCTCTGAGGGGTGAATGCACTATAGTTTCCAGTGTAAGATTAGGGCTATGTTTCTCTTCAGTTTCCATTACCATTCCTGACGATATTCGACATTGCACTGGCCTTTTCCAAAACAAAACATAGGGCTGCTATCCTTCATAGCTAGTTGTGGCATAACATCCAGAGGGCAGATGAAGCTATAGTGAAGAAGCACTCTTGACTGTGAGGCAGGAGTCCAGGATTTTGGCCCTGGGTCTATTTATGACTAATTATGTGATCCTTAGGAAATCATTAATCCAACAAAACTTATGTGTTTTATTGGAATTGTGCTGAATACTGGGATACATAAATAAGTCACACACTCTGCTTCATGGAGCTCACAGTCTCATGGAGGAGAGTGACAGGAAAATCAGTGACTCAAATAAGGTATAATAAGTGTCAAGAAGCCTGTACTAGATATAGAAGAACAGAAGAAAAACTCTTGGATGAGGTATCTAACATCTGGAGGTATTAGAAGGAGGTCAGAAAGTACTTTTCTAAGAGTGATGATATCTGAACTGAGACTTGGAAAAACCTGGTTTGTTCATTGCTGTATTGCACACCCCCAGAAGAGTACTGGGTACAGGGTAGGTATTCAGTAAGCATATGTGTACTTATGAGAGTAAGGAGAGAATTTCATGTAGCTAGAAGGACTTAGGCAAAGATGTGGGGTTGTCAGAAACATGACGAGTTCAGGAAACTGTAATTATGGAGCTCTAAAGTGGACAAAGCAGGAGTGGTTGGGCCTAAGGCTGGAAATATAGCTCAAAGTTTGGGCTTTTGAATTTTTTCTTGAAGGCAAGAAAAAAATTGGGGGGCCACTAGAAAATTTAAGCACAAGAGTCACATAATCAGTGTTAGCTTGAGGTGCCAGTTACCAATTTTTGCCTCTCAGCTCCAAATTCACCTTGTATTGCCTCCTCCACAAAAATTGAACTAGGTCCTTTAACATTTTTTCCCTTGCCAGTTGTCATAAGGAGTAGCTTTGTTGGGACAGAGCACTGGAAGGACTGGAGGAGGAAGAGGTTTCTCTTAGGAATTTAGGTATGTTCTTCTTGCTAGGCTCCAGGAACTTGTAGTTTCTCCTATGCTGGGATCCTGTAGCAGACAGCTTTTCCAGCATCTGGTTCATGCAGTGTGTGATCTCTTGAGTGCCCAACTGCTGGAGTACACAGTGGCCATCAGTGCCCCACGGCTAGCAGTGTCCCCTGGCACCTCTCTTGGGAAGCTCTATAGCAGAGTGCTGTCAGTGAGTTACCTTTTAGTGAATGACTTGGGTGTTTCAGAGAGTAAATTTTGCCTGCCTGGCACCTCAGCAATTTCTCTGCTCTCCAGCCAGCTGTGGCCATCCCCTCTGCACCAAGCTCTGGGAAAGGTTTCTTCCTTGAGTGATCTATCTTGGGGGTAGTGGTTGCCCCTTATATCTGTGATTCCTGTATATTTTAGATCTCTCCTGACGTATTAGCCAATCCTTCATTACTCCAATCCCATCATTAACAATTCTTTATATTGAACTTCTCTTGTTAAAATTATTACATGCTCAAAAAATTACTATGTGATTTATTTCTCTTTGTTGGACTCTGAAACACACATTGACTAACAGTTGTGTGGATGAGCTGAAGAGAGGATGGTGAAGCTTCAGGCAGGGAGCCTGGTTAGGAGAATATGGCAGCACTTTTGACAACTCTCAGGAGCTTCACTGCCTTGAAAAGTCGTTGCAATAGGGAGGGATAAAAGAGACAGGTATTTAGGAGATAGGATATACAGGATTTGGTAACTACTGAAGGAGGAGGAGGAAGAGAAAGAGGTGGAGGAAAAGAAGGTGGAGAAGGAGGAGGAGGTGAAGGACAGAAAAGTCTAGAGTCACTATCAGTTTTCAAGCTTGGATGACTGGGTGCACAGTGGTGGTACCCTTGTAGAAATGGAAAACACTGAAGGAGGGTCAGGTCAAATTGTCCCCCCAGGTTCCCATTTACTTTCAGGAGTTCCATGCACTTCTGAATCACAAAAAGTTGAAATCATAGACTCTCTGAGTTGAAGAGGCACCAAAGCCCAGCTTTTCTGTCTTTGGGCAATAAGGGCCATTTGTTCACATCAAAGAAGTGGGAGAAAGGTCCATTCTATCTTAACATTCCTCAATTCTAACATTTTGTAAAGTTCTTTTCCATTTTTAAATCTCTTGATATCGTAGGCCTTCTTCAATTATACATTCCAGAGCTCATCCATACCCCCAACTCTTCCAATTCAATACATTTCCTCTTAAGTGAAACCTACATGCCTCCTAATGTGAAATGGCAGCCCAACATATAACCTACCAAGTGCTGAAGAACGTTGGTCTTAACATAGACTATAGTCTTGTTTCAGGAATCTCTCACTTGGTTTTATTGGTATGGGCTAAACAGGGCTTCCGTTTCATAAATGAAAGTCTCCAGTTACATGAATGAAAGGCTCCAGGGCAGAATTTCAGAGGGTTTCTATGAGTGTCACTTGGAACCAAGCACAGGCAACTGCACATCCCTGTTTGGGTTTGGAATTGGAGGTGGTGGGTTTGGGATGTGGTTACTCTTGTTTGGAATGCATTCTCCTCCTCTTAACAGGTTAATTCTTCCTTTGGAAATCTGCTCAACCTTCCCTGACCACCCTGTCAGTTCCATTGTACATACCCTTTCAGAGCATCACTTACCTATCGTTGCTATGATTCTTTGAGTAACATGTGCCTCTCCCACTAAACTCCACGGCAGAACTGGTCAGTTTTTGCTCACCACACCATCCCAGTGCCTACCCAGTGCCTGGAACTTAGTGTTCAATAGATACTAGTAAAAATGAATGCATGATAGCAGTCTGTGAGGTGCTAGGTATAAAAGAATGCGTGATAGCAGTCTGTGAAGTGCTAGGTATGCCCATTGGTCCACCTGACAATTCTCCCAAAGTTATTTTTATATCCCTGTTGCTGATGAAAAAGCAGAGGTGTGGCTCCTCCGTGGAGGGCTCTGATTCCAGACTTTTGAGTCTCCCTATCACTGTCCTCAGGGTAAGAAACCGTATAATAGTATTCTGGGTACAAAATACCCACACAAATTGGCCAGAAAGCCATAATCCCCAACAGTCACATTCTCTTGAAGATCTTGCCTTTCCCTTGCTCTGTGAACAAGGAGAGGCTCAGAAGCCAGGGGGCGTCCTGCAGGGCTCCTCGCTCAGACCAGTGCAGCCCTCGGGGCGCTCAGAGCCCTGCCCTCCCTCCACTTCCCCTCGGGGTGGCTACCTCAGGCTCGCCCCCAAACCGGCTGTCTGGCCTCAGGCGAGAGGTGTGGGGAGAGACCCAGTGCCTCACACCCTTCTTCTCAAGAAGAGCAGTAGAACCTCGGCGGGGAGGGCAGCAGCGGCCAGGGGTGACAGCAGCGGCGGGGCACGACCGCCGTTAGCTTTAGACGTTAGCGCTCCGCCTTCGCCTGGCAAATTCTGCGCGGGCTCCGCTGCCAGGTCACCGGGGTAGGGCCGGGCGCGACGTCACAGAGCCGCCCCGCCCCTCCTGTAGCGGCAGGTTCCCAGGGTCCCGCTAGGGCGCTGCTGGGGGAAGCTGAAAGCTGCTTTTGGCTTTGCTGTTGGTGGAAGGACCAGACGGCCTGGAGGGTTAAGGACAGGGCTGGGGGCGTTAGGAAACCCGGACTGGGGGCGTTGGGGATGGGACAGAATGTGTAGCCATTGACCGTGCGCTTTTGTAGGTGAGAGAGCGGAAGTGGAACTTGACCTTTCGGCTTGTGGAAAGTGGACAGGTGAGAAGTCCTGGGGAATCATAGTAACAACACTTCTTACAATGCGTTCTTTGGTGCCAGGAATTGTTCTAAGTGCATTACACACATGTACTCATTTCATCCTTACTGTCACCCCATGAGGCAAGTACTATTGTTATCCCCATTTTTACAGATGAGGGAACTGAGCCCAGAGAGGTTAAACTTGTCCAAGATGTCAGCAATTGATAGAGTCAGGATTTGAACCTGGGTTGCATGGTCCCAGATACCTCACTCTTGACCTTATAATGCTAAGAAAGAGGGATGGAGTGG